TTACATGCATAAAATGTACCCTTCTAGCTGAGACTGGTTTGGCTCAATGGATAGAGCATCGGCTTGGGGACTGAAGGGTCCCGGGTTCGATTCCGGTCAAGGGCATGTACCTTGGTTGCGGGCATATCCCCAGTAGGGGTGTGCAAGAGGCAGCTGATCGATGACTCTCTCTCATCGATGTTTCTAACTCTCTATCTCTCCCCTTCCTCTCTGTACAAAATCAATAAAATATATTTAAAAAAATATATACCCTTCTAAATGTACAGATGGATGACTTTTGACAAATGTAAATGCCTACATAACCACCATCACAACCAAGACAAAATATTTCCATCTCCCAGAAAAGTTCTTATGTGTCTCTTTAACCCCAACCCCAGACAAGGATTGATCTGAATCTCACTATCACAGGTTAGTTTTACCTATTCTAGAACTTCATAGCAATGGAACCGTTCAGTATGTGTGCTTTTGTGCCTGGCTTCTTCCATTTGGCAGTATGCTTTTGAAATTCATCCATGCTGTTGCTTGTATCAATAGTTTCCTCTTGCCCTAGCCGGTTATCTCAGTGGGTAGAGTGTCGGCCTCAGGACTGAAGGGTCTCAAGTTCAATTCCAGTCCCGAGTGAGGGAACCAATCGATGTGTCTCTCTCACATCGCTGTTTCCCTCTGTCTCTCCCGCTCCTTTCTAAAAAAAATCAATGGAAAAAACATCCTCAAATGAGGGTTAACAACAACAACAAAAATGTTTCCTCCTATTTTATTTTATTTCTTTTTAGAGAAGGGCAGGAAGGGAGAGAAACATCAATCCATCAGTTGCCTCGTGCACACGCCCTGACCTGGGATTGAACCTGCAACCCAGGCATGTGCCCCGAACAGGGTGATGCTCCTACCAACAGAGCCACACAGGCTAGGGCTAGTCCCCTGGTTGTTGTGTTTTTTTAAATTGCTGAATATTATTCCACTGTATGGGTTATTTATCTTTTTACCTGTTGATAGATTGAGTTGTTTCCAGTTTGAGCCTATTATAAACAAAGCTGTTAGGAACATTAGCATGTTTTTTAAAGACATATTTTCTCATTTATCTTGGGTAGATACTCAATTTGGAATTATTGGGTCATTATAAAGGTACTAGAGGCCCAGTGCAAAAAATTCATGCATGGGAAAGGTCCCTAGGCCTGGCCTGTGATCAAGGTCAATCAGGCTTTCCAGCTGCCTGCAGGAGCCTTCCTTCATTCCGCGCCACCCCCTGGTGGTCAGCTCTCGTCATAGCGAGTGATGGAACTCCCAAGGGGACAATTTGCATATTAGGCTTTTATATAGATATACATAGATATTTAGATAGATATAGATATGCTTACCTTTATAAAAAACTGCCAAACTTTTTCAAAGAGGTTGTATCATTTTACATACCCCTTACATTTGTCCTCAGTACTTTCCAAAGTCAGGTTTGTTTCTTGTCAGTAAGAGTATCTTCACTGGCCTCAAAGTGGCCCAGGGCGTCCTGATGAATGCAAAAAGATATGCCGGGAAATGTTATGTTAGCGGGAGGAAAGGAAGCCCACTCCATGAGTGGCTTTGTCTTCTGACTCTGGTAACTTTCTGTCCTTAGGACCCAGGAGTATTGCTTTTAGGGAGGGACTGGTGCCCATCCATTGATCCTGAGTTCATCTGGTCCCACTTCTGCCCCGGGGCTGATGGGGAGAAAGAAGGTGAGGGACCCACGGCTGCAGGAAGAGAGTGCGGTTGCTTATACCACCGGGCACTTACACACAGGGGCCGTTCAGAGCTGCATGGAGGGGAAGGGACTTGGGAAAATGCCTCTTGATAAGTCAGATCCTTACCCTTTCCCCAACCCAACCCCAAGGCTGTTTCTCTCATCTGTCAGTTCACTCACTCTAGGCTTTCTCTCTCTCTCTCTCTCTCTCTCTCTCTCTCTCTCTCTCTCTCTCTCTCTTTATGTTTCTAACTATCCCTCTCCCTTCCTCTCTGTAAAAAAAAATCAATAAAACATTTAAAAAAAACAACAAAAAAAAACAAAAAGCATGTTATCCAGTGATCAGTGCAAAGAAAACAAAGCTGAGAAAGGGTCTGAGAAGTAGGGGGTTAAATCCCACTGAGGGTGGCGGTGATGGCCTCACTCAAAGGCAACAAACATTTCTGCAAAGACTTTTATACATGAGAGGGGCCCTGGGAAGAGGAGACACAGCTGCCTCCTGATGCTGCCCCTTACTGGGTGCAAACAATTACGTGCCTGCCTGTGTGTGTCCGCGTGTGGCAGACACGGGCAGCGGCTCCACAGCCAGGCGGGGCAGGGCGGTGTCTGGGGCAGGGGTGGGATGTGCCAGGGCAGCACGGCCCCGGGCCACAGCACGGCCCAGCCTGGAGCCGCACGCCGCCGGCCTGGTGAGCATCAGCAACACCTCCGCCCGGGCCGGCCGGCCGGCGCTATCTGGGAGGAGGACGGGCCGTGATTGCAGCGTCTCCTGAGCCTGGCCGCTGGCCTCCGCGGCCGGGGACACGGCAGGGCGAACCCGGGCTCTCCACCGCCCGCCCTGCCTTCTCCATCACCCCCTCTGCCACTGTCCACCCCCCGCAGGCGGGCGGGTAGGCCGGTCTGCGGGGTTTTTCCAGGCCGGGCCGGTGGGCTGACCCAGCAGGGAGGGGACAGGGCAGGGACCGTCCCTGGACAGCCGAGGGGATGAGGTGTGTCCCGGAGCCCCACGGCTGCGGACGGGCGCTGGGGGCTGGAAAGCAGCTTTGCCAGGAGCAGGGGGAGGTCACGGGGAGAGGTCTGCAGGGCCCCCACCCCACTTCCTGTTTGTGTGTGTGTAGTGGGGAGGGGGGTGGCCCCACATGTGCTTTCCCTTGGACTCCATCCAGGCCGGCAACTCCCCAGCCGCTGGTTCCTGAGGGAACCCGGCACGCGGGTGGAAAGAGTCGGGGTTTTTCCAGGCTGAGCCGGGCCCCTGAGCCAGAGGGCACCTCTCCCACCCCTTCCTGACACCAGCCCTGGGGGTCCCTGTCCACATGGAAAACCCACAGGCCCCCAGGCTGGAGGGGAGAGGAAAGGCCGCCGAGCAGGTGAGTCCTGGCACCCCGCCCACGCAGGAGGGGAGGCAGGCCCACCCAGTGCCAGGCCCACCGCCCAGACAAAGCCTGGGCTGTCTGTCAGGCCCTGGGCCGCCCCCGGGAGGCAGCCAGGTCCATGGAGGCAGGTCCATGACGGGCTTACGAGGATGAACTCAGAACCTGGAGGGCCAGGCCTGAGGCTGCAGCCCGCTGTTTACTCGCTGGGTGACGGTGGCTCTGGTCCGCTGGGTCTCAGCTTCCCTCCCGCCAAGGTCATCCGTCCTCTGCCCCCGCACAGGGCCTGGCCCAGAGCAGGTACATATGCGAGGGAGGGCCTGGTGTGCCTAGAAAGACAGGGTCCCCCCTTCCCCCCAGCCCCCAGCTGCTCGGGTCCCGTGGGGCATCCCAGAGCCACCGGAGGTGATCCATTCGGAGCCTCCGGGAGGGGCCTCTGGGTCTGTTTCCCACGCTGAAGGCACAGCTCCTCCGAGGGAGCCTGGGACCGGCAGAAAGCAGGAAGCAGCAGCTTTTCTAGAACTACCCGAGGCGGTCCCTCTCGGTACCTAAATGTTTGTCCGTGGGGGTTCTCTGGCCCGGGTCCGGTCCTCTGTGCGGAGCTGGGAGGGAGCTGGGGGTCAGCCGCCGTCGCCTGGGTTGGCCCACCAGGAGGCCCTGGCCCCGAGGAGCTCATGACTGTCCACGGTCAGCAGCAGAGCTGGCACCGGGGCTCCCGGCTTTGCTGCCTCCGAAATGCCAGCGCCCCCAACTCCACACCACACCGCCCTCCGGCCCCGGGGACCGCCTTTAAAGAGACGGTTCGCTGATAGCGGACCTGGGCCTTCCAGTTTGGGGGAGTCTGCCGGGGACCGGCTTCTGTAAGGTTTCCTTAATAAGGGGTGCAGCCTCCTCCCCCGTTTCCAGATGGAGACACAGCTGTGGGTTTGGGGGGAGGGGGTGGGGAAGGGAGGGCTGGCAGGATCCAGTAAGGGGTGTGTCCCTACGTCTGCTCCCCAGGGTGGACCCAGCCAATAGGGTCACCCTGTCCCTTTAAGAGAGGGGGGAGAGCTAGCCCCTCTCAGACAGGAGGCCATCCTGTCCTATCACCCATCCCGGCCAAATCTGAAAGGGAAAATGAAAGAGGGACCAGGAGGAGCAGGTCCCAGACATCTCCCAAGATTCCTCGCTCGGCTTTAACACCTCCGCTCCAGGGACAGGGTGAGTGGGGCCGAAGGAGGGTCTGGGGGTGTCCGGGGCCTTGGGGCCTGTGTGAGTGTGTGTTGGAGAGCCTCTCTCAGGAGACGTGGGGAACTGGGAGCTGGGGCGCCAGGGGGGAGGTGGGAGAGGCCTGGGCCGCATTCCTGCCTCAGTGGGGGCTTCGGGCAGGGGACACCCAGGACAGAGGAGCCTACGGGGTAGGACGCCTTTGTGTCACCCCAAAGAGAAACCACTTTGTGTCACAATCCAGAGAGAAACCCACTTCAGTGGAAAGGGCAGAGAAAGAGAACGGCAGGGCACCACACTGGGTCTGGCGTCCTGGGTTCGAGGCACCACTCCCGCCCAGGGAAAGCACATAGGGCACAGCTGGGGCTCTGCTTCCACAGGGCGGCCCTGGGGGTCTCCAGGGCCCTTCGCCTGCGAGTCTAGGCTCTGGAGGGCCCTAGGGCCCATGAGCAGGCCCAGGGGTCAGGCTGGAGCACCCAGGGAGAGGGGCACCCCTGGTTGAGACCCACCAAACCCCTCCTGCCCCCGCCCCCCTTGCTAACTGCTTTGTTCCCACAAAACCCCTGCTAAACCCACAGCTCGCTGACCCTGACTCACCGGGAAGGTAGAGGAGGTCCCCCGGGAGTATGGGTTGGCGGGGGGGGGGGGGGGGGGGGGGAGCCCTGCCTGCGGCCGCTGACACCCCCCACCCCCCCACCCCCGCCCGCAGCGCCATGGGGGAGTGGGCCTTCCTCAGCTCGCTGCTGGACGCCGTGCAGCTGCAGTCGCCGCTGGTGGGCCGCCTGTGGCTGGTGGTCATGCTCATCTTCCGCATCCTGGTGCTGGCCACGGTGGGCGGCGCGGTGTTCGAGGACGAGCAGGAGGAGTTCGTGTGCAACACGCTGCAGCCGGGCTGCCGCCAGACGTGCTACGACCGCGCCTTCCCCGTCTCGCACTACCGCTTCTGGCTCTTCCACATCCTGCTGCTGTCGGCGCCGCCCGTGCTCTTCGTCATCTACTCCATGCACCAGGCCAGCAAGGAGCCGGGCGCCGGCGCGGGGGCCGAGGAGGGCAAGCCCGGCGCCCGGGGGCCCTCCGACGGCGCCCGGCCCGCGCCGCCCGCCCTGCGCGCCCGCCGCGCGCGCCGCTGCTACCTGCTGAGCGTGGCGCTGCGCCTGCTGGCCGAGCTGGCCTTCCTGGCGGGCCAGGCGCTGCTCTACGGCTTCCGCGTGGCCCCGCACTTCGCGTGCGCCGGCGCGCCCTGCCCGCACACCGTGGACTGCTTCGTGAGCCGGCCCACCGAGAAGACGGTCTTCGTGGTCTTCTACTTCGCCGTGGGGCTGCTGTCCGCGCTGCTCAGCGTGGCCGAGCTGGGCCACCTGCTCTGGAAGGGCCGCCCGCGCCGCGCCGCCCAGCGCGACCCCCGCGGGGACCGGTCGCGCGAGGAGGAGGCGCAGGAGCTGCTCCCGCCGCCGCCGCCGCCGCCGCCGCCGCCCGCGCCCCCGGCCCCGCGCCGCGCCGCGCCCGCCGCCTGCGCGCCGCCCGCCTATGCGCACCGCGCGCCCGCCGCCGGCGACAGCGAGGGCAGCGGCCGCAGCAAGGCGTCGCTGGCCACGGTCCGCCGGGACCTGACCATCTAGCGCGGCCGCCCGGCGCGGGGGAGCGCGCGGGGGAACCCCGCACGGCGGACACCGCAGGAGCGAGCAGTGGCTTCTGCGAAACCTGTTCCCGGGACGCTGCCTCCCTCCGGGCGGCGGGCCCCGCAGCCCCGGCCCGCACCTCCCTCTGCTCCCGGCCGCGCTGGGACAGGGCATGAGCCGGGGCAGGTCCAGAGGCCACCGTCCGATCCCCGGGGGGGAAAGGAGGGCGCCGGCGGGAGGGGAGCGAGAGGAGCAGCGTCCAGCGGGGTTCAGGGGGTGACCTGCTGGGTTTGCCGGGGACAAAAGCAACGGCGACTTCAGCGCCCCGAGGCCCCCGTGCAGGCAGGCGTGGCCTCCGGGCGGGCCCCCTGTGTGTGTGTGTGTGCGCACGTGGACACACGGCCACAGGGGAGGTGTGTGCCTGTGCACACGGAAAGCCTCCGGGAGCCCTCTTGTGTGTGCATGTGCACGCAGGTGGAATCCTGTGGCAACTCTGTGTGCACGTGTATATGCACATGCACATCCTGTGTGGGCCTGTGTGCGCCCCGTGTCAGCTGTGTGTGTGTGTGTGGGGGGGGATCTGATACGCACTGTGGGTGGTCAGGGTCGGTGCCAGCAGCAGCCATAGTGGCTCCCTCCCCACCTGCAAGGGCGTCACAGGAAGGCGGGGAGGAGGTGCCCTGCACCTGGGCAGGCCTCCGTCTGGTCGGCTCCGGGCACCCTCCACCTGGGCAGGGCCTCCTCCTGGAGGTGGAATGGGGGTGGACAGTGGGTGGGCAGTGGGTGGGAGGGGGGAGACTTTTCGCTTCTAGCTCCGCCCTCCTCGCCCTGCTGCTGTGTCCCCCAGCTCACAAACACCTTCCATTCTCAGAAGAAATCCCCCCAAGACGGGCTCCTGGCCACCGTCCTCCCCCTCCTGGGGAACAGGAAGAGCTGAGGACAGGCCGCCTCTGTCCTGTCTCTCCGCTGCCCCCTCTGTCCTTCTCCGTCACTGCCCGGTGGGGCTGCTTTCCGGAGGATCGCCCGGGACCCAGGGCCACCCTCTGACTGCACCCTCAGACCTGCTGCAGCTGCCATGACTCTCTCTGTCCCATTTTCTCCCACTCCCCTGGCCCTCCCCGCCCTGGTCCTCCCCGCCGTCTCCTCTTTGTGCTCCTTCAAGCCTCCTCCTTGGCTCTCCAGCCCAGGCTCCACACAGCAGCCCTCCGGCACTTTCTAAACAGCCCTCCCTCGGCCCTGCGGGCTCCCTGTTCTCAAAGTAAGTCCGGCACCTGCCCTCCTGCCCCCCACCCCCACCCCCAGCCCCACACACCCAGGCCTGCTCCTCAGGCTGCCAGCCCACCTCTCTGGCCTCCCAGGGTGTCCGGCTCCGGTCCACAGCCAAGTTGCTCTTCCTCCCCACATAACGACCCGTTTTGCCTCCAAGTGGGGCCGAGGCCAGGGTTGTCGCTGCTGAGCGTCCTGCAATGCCCAGGACGGCCCTGGGCATACGATGCCACGTGTGCTGTGGCTGAGAAGCTGCCCCACAGCGATGGACTGCGGCCCTGTGGGCCACCTCAGGCTCTGGAGGGTCCCGGCAGCAAAGGGACTGCCCCGGGGAGGCACTTTGTTAAACGCAGGGGACCCTGCTGGCATTTAGTAGGCAGGAACTCGGGATGCCAAGAGGCGCTCCCCACTAAAGAAGGCTCCGCTGAACACGGACATCGTGAAAGCCTGGCTGTCTTCCATTCAGGCCATTAAGGGGGACTCTGGGGGACAGGGGTTTCACATGGTTTTGTTACCCACTGTCAGTTTTAATTGCAACCTCCAACCATACTCTTTAACTGTCCTGAGCTCCACGTATACGGTGGTTTCTGACCCTCTTCCTTCCTTTACATCCAAATGTGTTCATTAAAAACAGAAGCAAACATGGGACTGTGTCATATCTGCCCTGTGGTGGTGCCCAAGCATTTACATACTGAAATGCACGCCTCCTGTGTAGGTATATGGTGTTAAATTTCATTTCCGCTTCACAACGAAAACGTGAGAAAATATTACTCTATCCCGCGCTCACGCCAGCCACGGCCAGGTGGTGAGATAAGCGAGGCCTGCCGCCACCTGATGGCTGGATGCAGAAATGGCAGGCGGAAGGGATGGGGGAATAAACCCCTTGGAGCCCAGGCATCTTCCTGCCCAACCTCGATGCCAACAGTTCCAAACTCAGCTTCCTCTGCCACCTCCCAGCCCCCCTCCGCCCCCCGACCTCGGCATTGGACGCTTCCTTCGGGGCTGCAGAGATCCAGGAAAGAGCTCTGGCTAAGAGGTGGGGGCCCTGAGTACTGCCCCCCATCTACCCCTAACTTGCTGTGTGACCCTGAACAAGGGCACTGCCCTCTCTGAGCCCTGATGTGTCTGAGAGGTGGGCATAATTGGTCTCAGGACCCTTGAGGGCTGCCATACTCAACCCTCACAACCGGGCTCTCCTGCTCCCCAGGCGGGCGGAGGGGCCACCTGGGGGGAGGGGCAGAGGGCAGGACAGTCCTCCTGGGGGCCTCGGGATGACAGGCTGGCCTCCTGAGCTTCCATCCCAATCCTGTGTTCTTGTGAGGTGGCCAGGAGCCCCTGATCCAGGTCCCCATGCCAACTACCTCTGTGCAGTGAAGGTCGTCTGTATTCGCTCCAAAAATAGAACTCTCCTCTTCTTAAATTGATGTTAGAGAGGGGGTGGGGGAGAAACATTGATGAGAGCGAGCATCCGTCGGCTGCCTCCCACACAGCCCCTACTGGGCATCAGGCTTCAACCCAGCCATGTGCCCGGACCTGGAATCAAACCATGCTCAACCACTGAGCCACCCAGGCCAGGCAAACTCCTCTGCTGTTAAACAAGCCCCAGACCCAATCTCCCCTGAGATCTGGAGCCAGCACCTCCCTGATGGGCAGTTTCTCCCCCTCTCCCTTCCCCACCTCCAGACAGGGGCTCCCTGACGCAGGTGAAGGGCTTCCTCAGAGCAGCCCTGTCTCCGGCCACGGGGTCTCAAAGACCATGGCACAGGGGTCCCCAGGGCTCCCCTCGGACCCCCCGGCCCAGCCCCTGCCCGGAGGCCGAGGGAAGGCAGTGAGGCAGCGAGGCTGAGGCAGGTGTAGAATAAATAGAACTTTATTCTTTATCCAGTAGATCTCAGTGGAAAGTCCCACAGTAACAGGTGCACCACGGGCTCTGGGGGACGAGACCCCAACCCTGGGGCAAGGGGGCGGGGCAGAGCCAGCTCCCGGAGCCCAGGGGTGCGGGGGATGAGAGGGGCCCCCCTTAGGCCCGTCCTGCGGGGCAAGAAGGGGGCACAGTGGGGGGGGGAACCTGGGGGGGCGGCCAGGGAAGTGGAGGAATTCAGACCGTTATCTGCCGGCCTGTGCGTGCGTGCGCGTGTGTGTGTGTGTGTCTGGGGCCCTGTGGGGTGCTGGTGGCTGTGAGGCTGGGGCAGGGACAGCTCAGACCCCTCGGCCAGCCCCTTCACAGTGGGGGGCAGGAGGGCTGAGATCCTGTGGGCCCCGTGACGGGTCAGCTCAGCGAAGGACACGGGTTGGGAACATGTACGTGTATGTTCTGCAGACACCCCTGCCGGGCCCCGACCCGCCTCTGGTGGGGGCACCCTTCGGCCGCCCACGCCCAGTGGTTAGGCCGGGGGAGAAGGGGTCTGGCTGCTCCCTCATCGCCGAGGGGAGCGCGGGCCTCAGAAAGTGAGTAGTTCACAGTTTGAAAGAGGAAACTGAGGAGACAGAGGCTGGGAGAAGGGGGCCGGGGGGACACGGGGACACGGAGAGAGAGTGGGAGCCCCCTGGAGCCGCCGCCCACCCCCAGGGCCCACCCCCTCCAGCTCTGGATCCAGCTCCCCCTCCCCCAATACACAGCACAGATTCCTTCAGTATAGATGTGCTTAAAATGAAAATTCTTATTAAAAAAAAAAAAATCAAAACAAAAAAAAAATTTAAAATAAAAACGAAACCAGCGGTAATACCTGGGGGTTGGTATGGCGGGGTATATACAGGGGGGACCCCCCGCCCCTGGCCTACCCCCCCTGTCGCCCACCGAGGCGATGGGGGGGTCCCCAACCGGGGGGCAATGGCTTGCAAGTTCTGAGGACGGAGGGGCCGGGTCCTGGCGTTTGCTGGTGATGGCGACGAGGCGAGGCGGGCGGAGGGGTGTCTTGATGAACACGAGGCCCCCAGGCCCCATCCTGAGACCCAGGACCCGGGGTCCCCACTCAATCAGTCCATTGGCCTTGCCCCGGCGAGCCAGGCCACAGAGGAACAGTCCACGGTGCCCGGGCCTCTGTCCAGAGCCGCCGCCTCCCCCTGCCCCCTGTCCCGGGAGGGGAGACCGGCAGGGGCAGGGCCGGCCGGGGCCGGGTGGTTGGTAGAAAGGCAGAGAGAAGCCGGGCGAGGGCGAGGGCCGTGTCCGTGGGGCGCAGGCGGTCATGGGGAGTGGGTGGCCGGGCTGCTTCTGTTGGAGCTGGGGCTGAGGCTGGGGCTGCAGCTGCGGGGTGGGGGTGCCAGGCCACCCCCTTCCCGCCCCCCGCCCCCCGGCTGTCCGCTCAGAGTGTCCAGGCCCTCGGAGTTCTCCAGCATCTCCTGGATGAGAGGTGGCATGGAGCCCGGGATCTCCATCTTCAGCGTGATCACCCGCTCGGCCCCTGCGGGAGAGGAGGGCGGAGGTCAGCACACGCCCCGCCGCCCGGCTCCACAAGCCCCAGGAGCAAGCGGGGCTCCCCGGGGACCGGCGCCCCCAGGCTCAGCATCCACCGTGCACTGCCTCGGGGCCCGTCTCTCTGAGTCCCCAAGTCCGAGAGGCAGCGGGGAAAGTGGTTCTTTTCTTTTTTATAATATATTTTATTGATTTTTTTACAGAGAGGAAGAGAAAATTAGAAACATCGATGAGCAAGAATCATCGATCAGCTGCCTCTTGCACACCCCCTACTGGGGATGTGCCCGCAACCAAGGCACATGCCCTTGACCGGAATCGAACCTGGGACCCTTCAGTCCGCAGACCAACGCTCTATCCACTGAGCCAAACCGGTTTCGGCCAGGGAACGTGGTTTTTGACTCTGACCGCCCGGCCTGACACCGGGGCCTACCCGTGTGCCGTGTGCTACAGCATCTCCTGCTGACGCCTCCCAACAGCCGCCCTGTCAACACCATCCCCGTCCTCCCCTCAGATGGGCTCAGAGCTGCTCAGTGACCTGCTCAAGGGCGTGCACCCCTGCCATCTGGTTCCAGAGCCGTGCCCTTCCCCGCCCGGCACAGGGGACGCTGCCACCTTGGCGCTCCCAGGCAGGAGGTCGCCCGGGCCTGGCGGGGCCTCTGGGGTCGGGGCCTAGACGGAGAGGGACAGCCTGGTCCCGATGAGTGGGGCACTGTCCTGGGCACAGAGGCCCCGGTGTTCACGGAGGCCGGCTGCTGGGGCCCAGCCCGGGCGGGCACGGGGGCGTCCCGCCAGGAGCCTCACCCTTAGCGCTGATGCTTCGAAGGTCCGTGATCTTCATGAGCATCTTGGGGAACATGTGGGGCCGGCTGGGCCTCCGCTTCCGCACATAGACCTTGAGCGCCTCGAGCAGCGGCTCCTGCAGCATGTCCACCCGGTCCGGCTGCTCCAGGTCCTGCCGGTCTGAGGGAGCAGAGCAGCCCCTGAACCTCCCTGCCTGGCCCGGCCAGGAACAGCACTGCGCTCCCGGCCGCGGCCACTGGGGGGCGCGCGTGCCCAGGCCACAAGCTGGGCGTCTGCTGCCGGGGCCTCCCCACAGAGGGCAGCGGAGGGGTCTGTGTGCTCGGATACAGGCTCTTAATCATAAGCAGAGGAGCCGAGGCTGTGGCTGCCCACCGCCGGCCCTGACGGCCAGCTCATGGGGGTGGGACCCAGCAGAGGAAGATGCCCGGGCAGGTCCCTGGCATGACATGGCAGAGCTCGTAACAACGACATAGTGACAGCAGCCAACATGCACCCCGTCTTCCTCGGGCACAGTGCGCCCTCCTTAATAATGACCACCTTCCTCGGTCCATTCTGGCCTCGTCCTGCAGACATGGGGGCTCAGAGGATTTGGAAAACCTGCTCAAGGTCAGAGCTGGCCGGGATGTGAACCTGGGCGGTCTGACCAGGCAGGGAACCCCAGTTCAGGTCTCCGTTGCCGCACCCTCGCTGTGACTCGATTCCCCCTCTGAACAGGATCCTTCCTGAGCTGATGATTCCCTGGACACCCTGGTGAGGGGCTCCCCCGCCAGCCCGGGCCCGGCCCCGGGACCCCGGCCCCTGCCCACCTCCACAGATAAGGCAGATGGCGCTGAGCAGCCCCGTCTCGGCGTCATCCATCTCCAGGGGCAGCAGCTGGTTGGCGAAGGCGAAGACCAGGTCGGTGAGGGGGCCGAAGCCGGCGTTGTGCATCTGGGTCCGGTTCAGGGTCAGCCCGTCCGAGAAGGTCATGGTGTCCTGCTCGGGCGTGTACCTCGTGCAAATCCTCAGGATCTGGGTGCAGAGGAGGCACGAGGTTAGGGAAGGGCCCATCCCCCCAGCAGCTCCAGCAGCAGCGTCCGTCCCCACAGGCCCCCCTGGCAGGCGGCCAGCCCAGTGCGGCCCGACAGAATCTCCTACGATAATGAAAACGGCCTGAGTCTGCACCGCCCAGCCACGGGCCGCCAGCCACGGCGTGGCCATCGAACCCTTAAAGCCACGCCAGGGCCCCCGAGGAGCCGCCTGGATTTCGCTTTAGTAAATTCCAATAGCCATGCCTGGCACGCGGCTTCTGCATCGGCCCAGCCCTGTCTCCACGCAGAGGATTTAGAATTCTTCAGACACGAGAATTCCTGGGCAAGAGTCATAGCGAATGTATGGCCACCGCTCCCAGGACAGGGTACACAGCAGGCGCTCCATAAATGTGCATCAGCTTCAACTGTGTCAGACCCTGACCCTGCCTCTGCATCCGGGGCCTGGGTGGGGGTGGGGGCAGCATGCACTGCACCTGCCCCCTCCTCCCGGGAAGTCACACCCGGTTCCCCAGCCAGGAGGGGGCCAGAGGGCGGAGCCGGGCAGGATGAATGAATGGCAGGGAGGGGAGTCCTTGTCAGTGGAGGCGTGGGCATCCCCACCGCCCCCAATTCTGCCACCAGCCCAGCCCAGCCCAGCCTCTGGCCCCCCAGTCCCGCCTCCAGCTGGCCGCCCGCAGCAGGCCTCGCACAGCCTGCCCTCCGTCAGCCGCCCTCTCCCCGGCCCCCTCCGCACCCTCAGTGTCATCCCCTCTGACACCTTCCCCGGGGCCCACAGCTGGAGCTCTCCGGTCTGCATGAGGGAGGACGTCCCTTCCCCCTCTCCAGCCAACTCTTATCACAGCTCGCCACCCGTTTGCAGATCTGTGGCCTCCAAAATCAGGAGGTTTGCCAAAACCGGTTTGGCTCAATGGATAGAGCATCGGTCTGCGGACTGAAAGGTCCCAGGTTCGATTCCGGTCAAGGGCATGTACATTGATTGCGGGCACATCCCCGTTAGGGGGTGTGCAGGAGGCAGCTGGTCGATGTTTCTCTCTCATCGATGTTTTTAGCTCTTTGTCCCTCTTTCTCTCCCTTCCTCTCTGTAAAAAAAAATCAATATATATATATATATATTTTTAAATATATTTTATTGATTTTGTACAGAGAGGAAGGGAGAGAGATAGAGAGCTAGAAACATCGATGAGAGAGAGTCATCGATCAGCTGCCTCCTGCACACCCCCCACCGGGGACATGCCCGCAACCAAGGTATACGCCCCTGACCGGAATCGAACCCGGGTCCCCCCAGTCCTCAAGCCGACACTCTATCCACTGAGCTAAACCGGTCTCAGCTCAATATTTTTTTTAAAGGAGGTTTTCCAGGGAGGGGGTAGCGCGGTGTCCCCTCTGCTCCTGACAGCCAGCTCAGGGCCTGCCCATGCAGGGTCCCAGGTGAGTCTTTATTCCGGACGGAGCAGAGGGGACGATGGGCGGTTGGGGGGAAGGCTTAACAGAAAGATGGGGCGAGGGTGGATGAATGGGGGGGTGAGTGGCCAGGGAGACAAGTGAGCAAATGGACCGGGAGCGGAGAGGGGGCTGCTGTGTGGTGGGGGGGCATCAGGGCAGGTCCATTCCAGCGGCTGTGTGGGAAGGTGGCATCGGAGGGGCAGGGCCCAGACCCTCACCAGGATGTCCAGGCAGGCGGCCTTGAGAAGGGTGATCTGGTCGGCGATGGTGAGCGTGGTGAAGCCGGGCAGCTGCTTGGCGAACTCCACCGTCTTGATGATGCACTTGGTGGAGAGTTCACTGAACTTGTCCCAGAGGTCGATGTCCAGAGAGACACGTTGTTCTGAGCTGTTGTTCTGAGAGGGCGGGGGAGTGAGGCCTCTCCAGGCTCCCTCCGGCCGCTCCTCCAGACCCCACAGGCCCGCCCGCCCACCCCGCCCCGGCTTCCTGAGCACTCCGCCGGAGGAAGCGGGAGGAGGGGGCGGGGGGGGGGGGGGGGAGAACCGGAGGCCCGGGCATGGGGAGGGGGCAGCCTGGCGAAGGGGCGCCCGTGGGCCAGGGGAAGCGTACCTACCGTAGTGTATTTGCCCAGCTGGCAGAGCGCGGGGAAGGTCTCCTGGTGCGCTTTGCGCACCTTCTCGATGAGCTCGCCCACCTCTGGCGTCAGCGTGTAGCTCTCGGAGCACTCGGGCTTGGGCGCCTCCTTCTTCTTCTTGTTCCGGTCGTTCCTCACGGCTGTGGAGGGCGAGGCGGTGGTGAGAGCAGGTGCCGGCAGGGGTCCATCCCCAGGCCCCGGCCAGCCCCAGCCCAAGCGCCTCCCACCAGAGGTGTTGGCTGCAGGTGTCACTACCCGGTGGCGCACACACAGCAGTGCACACAGCAATGTGCACACACAGAAGCACATACAATGTGCACACACAGGAGTGCACACAGCAATGTGCACACACAGACCCACATACAATGTGCACACACAGGAGTGCACACAACAATGTGTGCACACACAGACGCACATACAATGTGCACACACAGGAGTGCACACAGCAATGTGCACACACAGGCGCACATACAATGTGCACACACAGGAGTGCACACAACAATGTGTGCACACACAGACGCACATACAATGTGCACACACAGGAGTGCACACAGCAATGTGCACACACAGGCGCACATACAATGTGCACACACAGGAGTGCACACAACAATGTGCACACAGACACGCACACACAGCAGTGCACACAGCAATGTGCACACACACAGACACACATACAATGTGCACGCACAGCAGTGCACACATACAATGTGCACACACACATGCACATCCAATGTGTGCACACACAGAGACGCACGAGTGTGCAGGCGGACAAGGTGTCAACTCACGCTCTACCCCTCCATGCCCACCTGACCCACAACACGTCCTGCCCGAGGCCCCGGGCCACGGCACCTGCCCGCTGTGCCCACACTCGCTCCAGCCACACTCCAGGAACGTGGGTCCCGTCTGAAGGCAAGTGTGCGGTCCCCACCTTCGCGCTCTGCCTCCCCGTCCCCCACGCCCTCTGCCCCCAGAACAAGCAGCCGCCGGGCCCAGGCCTGCAGGCAGCGGTCCCCCAGGGGGGTCCCAGGACTGGCCTGCAGAGGAGGCAGCCCCTCTCCTGGGGCAGGGGCTGTGCAGGGCTCCCCAGCCTGGGAGTGGGGGGCCGGGTGGGAGAATCCCCGGCCCGTTAGCTGGGGGAGCTGACAAATCACCGGGGGTGCTGAGCCGCACACACCACTCGGCTTTAAAGAAGCGATGGGGTCGTTACCAGCCGATTATCCCAGACACACCATCACTCACGGGGCCAGTGGCGGCGGCTGCTGACGCTGGAGGAAGAGGGGTGGGGGTGGGGGCCCCGGGAGGGGGGCGGTGGGGTGGGGTGGGGGAGCTGGCATAATTTGGAGATCACTCATGTCGATTCTGCAAATTCAATAAAGTGCAAGGGAGAGAGGGGAGAGGGAGAGTGGGGGGATAATTTGGGAAGAGAAAATTGCAGCTGTGACAAGACGTTTATCATTCGGAAGCTTTAATTCTATTGAAATGGCAGCTGCTCAGCTCCGGGGCACGGAGCAACCAGAGGGAGGGAGGGCGGGAGGGAGGGAGGGAAAGGGGGAGAGGGCGGTGGGAGGGAGAGGGGTCCCCACCCTGGTCCTTCTGCACCGAGAAGCTCCTCTGGGAGCGGAAGGTGGCGGAAGGAGGGAGGAGGCGGTGCTGGGCCCTGAAGGTCCCAAGCTGTCCCCCCTGATGCAGCACGGAGCCCTTGCTTCCTGGGCTCCGACCCGGGCAGCCATGGTAGGTGGCAGTGTGAGGCAGGACCTCTCCGTCTCCCCACACCCCTTCCCCACTTTCTTCCTCCACTGCCCAACCTACAAAGGGCGAGGGGGTCCTGCAGCCCCCTCCCCCACCCCCTCCCCCAAGGCTCAGGCTCCATGGCAACGGCCACGCAGACAAGGAGGCGTCTGTCAGCGTCATTTATCTCTGACATCATCAATCACTGGTCACCACGGCAACACTCATGATTCAACACAAGAGGGTCTCCCTGTCCAGCCCTCCCTCCTCCCTCTTCCCTCCTCCCTCCAGCCTCAGCTGAGCCCAAACTGGAAACCCCATCCCTCAGGGGTCTGAGACATCCTGATTCTCTCTTGAAGCCCAGGGCCCAGGCTCTGTCACCGGACAATGGCTTTTAGATCCCAGTGCCAGCCGCACCGCCCCCAACACACACACACACACACACACACACACACACACACACCCTCGGTCCAGGCCCTTCGCTAAGATGCACAATACGAAGGGACTTGGGGAAGCTTCTGAGCCCTGCCCCAGAGCCCAGCAGGGCTCGGAAGCCAACTGGCCTGCAGAAGACATACGAGCACACACAGCCAGCCATGTGCAAACAGGGAGGGAGTCTGCGACGGACACAGCCAGGTGTACAGACAGACAGGTCCTTGCAGCTATATATACACAAACCGTCCTTAGCCAGGAGCCCACACACCATACCATGAGCGTGCAAGGTCACACCCCTACACACACCCCCACACTCCCCCCCCTCCCCTCGCCTGGCCCCCGCCCCTGGCACTCACACTCCTTGGACATGCCCACTTCGAAGCACTTCTGCAGCCGGCAGTATTGGCAGCGGTTGCGGGTCACCTTGTTGATGATGCAGTTCTTGTCCCTGTGACACGTGTACACCATGTTCTTCTGGATGCTGCGGCGGAAGAAGCCCTGAGCATGGAGGGGGGGAGTCAGATCGGCCACTCCCACGGGAGCCACACCCACGGGAGCCACACCAGCCCGGGGCCTCAGCCGGGGCCCGGAGGCCAAGCCTTTGGCCGTCACCTGCCTGAGCAGCCAGATGCCGGATGAGGTGGGAGAAGGGCTCACCTACCAGGATGCCCCCCAGAGAACTGCAGTGCCTGCCCCTACGCTGCGAGCGCCCCCCCTACGCTGCGAGCGCCCCCCCTACGCTGCGAGCGCCCCCCCTACGCTGCGAGCACCCTCCCTACACTGCGAGCACCCTCCCTACACTGCGAGCACCCCCCACACACTGCGAGCACCCCCCACACGCTGCGAGCACCCCCCCTACGCTGCGAGCACCCCCAACCCACACCCGAGACCCTGCTTCCTCCCTCCCTGGGAAGAGGACACCAGGGCTGCCAGCATGCCAGGAAGGGGGCGCCGGGCTAGAGAGGAGAGGCAGAGCTCCCGGCAGAGAGAGAGGAGGAGGAGGAGGCACAGGGACAACGGGGGCTGGAGGGGGATGGAGACGCGCACAGAGTCAGGAACCAGCAGCAGGACGCACGCTTGCCAACCAGGGATGTGTACGGACTGGTCACACGTGACGCCGGCTGGGCAGAGGCCCCACACTCAGGCTACCCGGAGACGTGACAGACCAGGGGCAGGCAGGACAGGCAAAGACACACCCCCAGGCCTGCTGCTCTGCCCCTGATCATAGCCCCACACCTGGGGCTCCAGGCTGAGAGGCAGGCAGGAGCCCAAGCCCCCACGCTGTACAGCCTCTGAGCCCCCAGCCTCCGGGCAGAAACAGGTACCGAGGCTCGCTCAGGCCCTGGGAGGTGAGGCGAGGCCATGCCCACAGCTGCCGGGAAGATGGCAGCCGCGTCTGGACCCTGGAGCCGGACGTGGGCGCAGGGAAGTCCAGCCAGACCCGGGGGAGCCCCCTGCCTGGGCGTCAGAAGGACAGGCCACGGCGAGGCGCCTGCTCCCGCCTGCCCCCTGCCAGGCCGCCGTGGGGAGGCTCAGGCAGGGCCACTGGGGGCAGGCCTCCTGGGGCCCCAGCCAAGAGCCGGTCGGCAGCCAGCTCACCATGGCAACCTGGGCCGCGGTGGCAGGGCAGACCTGCGCCCTGCCAACTGGAGGATGGAGACAGGGAAAGGAGCTCTGTCAGGAGGGGGCCTCTTGGGTCTGGGAGAACCCCTGCCTGCTCATCCATGGGGGTTTATTGCAGGCTCCCCCCCCCCCCATAGCTGCTGCAACCTGCCACGTAGGAGCAAGTGCAGAAGCTTCAAGGACACCCCCCCCTGCACCCCCAACAGCAAACTCCCGGGATGGGACAGCGGGGACGTTTGCTGATCTCATCAGGACAGCCTTCCCCAGTGACTCAACTCACCTTGCAGCCCTCACAGGCGCTGACCCCATAGTGGTAGCCTGAGGACTTGTCCTGGCAGACAAAGCAGGGCTTGTAGATGCGGGGCAGGGGGGGAGGCGAGGGGGGGCTGGGCACTATCTCTTCGGAGCTGCTGCTCTGGGTCTCGATGGCTAGAGAGAGAGAGGAGGGAGGGGCGGTTAGAGACCCGGGCCGCCATCCTTAAGGCCGCGCCCGCCCGTCCAGCCTCCCGCTCTCTCCCCGAACCCCGAACCCCTCCCGCAGCCGCACCGCAGCGGCCGGCCCGGGGTTCAAACTCAGGGCGGGAGCCCGGGCTCAGGAGCGCTGGGCCTCCCCAGCCAGACGAGGGGAAGGAGGCTGCCAACGAGCCCCTCGGCACCCATCACACTCCCGGCTGCTCCCCAGGACCCCACCGTCCCTCCCAGAGAGGCCAGCGGATAAGCCACTGGGCCGTGTGCGGACACGGCTACACCTGGCGGCCTGGTCAGAGCGCCTGGCACCTGGCGGCCGCACCCACCGTCTCCCGTGAGGAAGGAGTTAAGGCCTACGAGGAGGGAGGGAAGAGGACACAAGCGAGGGGCAGAGGAAACTGGGGTCAACAGGATATTCAAAGGCGGCCACTCCCCCACCCCCTCGGCTTCCGCTCCCCCCTCCTCTCTGACGGCAGCCGCAGCCCCTCCTCCACCCAAACAATCCTCCGGCCTCAGGCCGGGTGAGCAAAGAAAAGTTGCAAATGTTCAGGGCGAAGCAGGCGGGACTCCTCCTGATAAGCAGGGGGGACTCCCCGGAGACAAGGAGGGGAGTCCCCATGGGCCCCGGAAGCCCCTGGCTCTGGGTGCCCAGTCTGGGGGGGAGCGGCATGACAATGGGGGGTCTGTTCCCATCAATGCTCTGTCTGTCTGGCCTCAACACTATGTCCGGGTTACTACCCCCTCCCCTCCCCTCCCGTTATTCGGCTCCACCAGGGCAGCCAGGAGGGCTGACCCAGCCAGCAAGGCAGCCCTCACTAGCCAAACCCTCCCCAGTGCTTGGCCCCGTGCCCATCACCCCAGGCAGGGCAGGGCTGGGCTGGGTGGGGGCTGTCTGTGCCCAGAGCCTGGGCAGCTGGGGGCACACTGTGCTGGATGGAGGACTGTGACCAAAGCAGCCCCAGACGCCCAAGGGACCACCCAGCACCCTCCTGAGGCCTTGCTAAGCCCGCTTGTCCAAGCTCAAGGACGCCTCCCCAGCAGGGAGATCCCTACCACCTCTCCCCACACCCCAGAATCCTACCCGGTCTCACCCCAAAGACCAGCACACAAGGCTCCGGCATGCCAAAGGGCCCAGAGCTCCTGGCCCGAGCACCTTACAGCCATGGGTCACCCGGCCCCCACGCTCCAGGCCAGAGAAAAGCAGCCTGAACACGGGGGCCCACTGCACACGGGCACCCCGGCCCCTACCTGCAGGCACACCACCCACGCATGGCCAGGAGGTGGATGGCAGGGAACCAGGCCAACCACCTTGGCAGGGCTTTCCTGGCTCTTAGTAGGGCCCGGGCACCACGTCCCTGGGCAGCCTGGCCAACCAGCACTGCAGTGGCCCCATGCCCCGTGCCTGCCCAGAGGCCAGACCACAGCAAAGACACGGGGGGGCCCCCACACCCCCATCAGTCCACAGACTCCCCACGGACCTCTCCTCCCAGCCCTCACCCAACACCAAACTGCCCGGCCTGGTTCGCCCCACCTCGCTCTCCTGGAGGCCAGACAAGCGAATCAGACAGGCGAGAGGCCTGGGAACAGCTGCCGGGGTGGGGGGCAGGGTTGGGGGGCCCGGGGGAGGCCAGGAGGCAGAGGGGTGAGCGACAAAGGAGCCCTTTGTTGTGCTAACTTTTTCCAAGACGTAAAAGGAGTAACAATAGACAATCCAGACTGGTGTGTGTGTGGGGGGGGTGTGTGTCAAGGACACGGGGCAGGGGGTGGAAGGCTGTGGCCTAGAATCCCAGTCCCAGATCCCAGGCGCAGAGGGTGAAGGCACTGGCCTGCCGCCCCCCCCCCCCCCCCCCCCGCAGCCTCCCGCTGAAATGGACCAGGCTGGAAGGGGGGAGAGAGTCCAGAGCGGGATGAGGAGGGGAGGAGGGGCATGGGGAGGCACACAGGATACCAGGATGACAGACAGACAGCTCTGAGGTCAGAGTCAAACCAGTGGGGCAAAGGTCTGCAGAAACCCGGAGCTCAGGCAAAGTCCGGAGGGTGTTTCTGGGGCCGGAAGAATGTGCCTGTCCATTTGGTAGGTTAGGGGGAATGACCCTGACCCCACGCGGGGCCACAGTGTGGCCTGGGGGAGGCCCCCTCCACCCACCTGGCTGCCTTGGAGGCTCTGACCCGGTCTGTGCTCCCGCCTCCGGCACACACGCCCCTGCCTGTCACCCAGGTGGCAGCCGGGAGTCCGGGCCCAGCGCCCACCTCCCCAGGCCTCCAGCCAGCAGCCCGGGGCACCCTAAGGACGCACAGCTCTAGGTCTGTCCACACAGCCCCTGGGGAAGGACGGCCAGGCCCGCCCCGCCCCATCCCCTCCCTCCCTCCCAGCCACACCTTCTCCGCTCAAAGTTCCAGCGCCCGCGCGGCTGGCACCGGCTCAGGAGCCGGGGTCCCCGCGGGCAGGAGGCGCGGGCCCGGCTCCCCACGCCCCGGAGCGGCCACAGCGCGCACAGGCCGGCTTCCTGGAGGGGATCGGGAGGAAATCGGCCGGGCCCCGGGCCAGCAGCTCCCCTCCCACCCCGGCTGGCGCCCGCCCCTCGGCAGCTCCCTGGCGGGCCGGGAAGGGGCGCAGGGCCTCGGTGCTCCCCTCCCTCCGGGGCTGGGGGGCTCGGGGGCCGGCAGCTCCGAGGTAGAGGCCCTGGGCCGCGGCCGCGATAACATCTCCCCCTCCCCCCCCGGGCCACGTGCTTCGCATTCTTGGACGTCTGGAGCCGGCGGACATCGGTGGGGGACAGACAGGGAACCACATCCTGTGTACCCCTCGTCTTCGCGGGCCCCCCAAACAGAGCTCCGCGGGGGATGGCAACGTCCCCGGGGCCCTGCAGGACGGAGACTGTCCCCACTGCAGGCAGAGGGCTCCTGTCACCAGAGGCCCCCAAGGCAGGGTACTGTCCGTCCGTCCGTCCTCCCATTAGTCAGGGGCTACTCCCACTTCCGGCCTCCGGGTCTTCCCAGGGCCTGGAACACCCCTCCCAGCTCCCAGCCCGGAGCGGAGCCCACTGACACCCCACCCACATGCATTCACTCACCGCCACGGCCTAGAGGGCCCAGGCCAGGCTGCAGCTCTGCCCCCAGACGGGGGGTGGGGAGACACAGGCCCTCACTTCCCGGTCACCTGCCCCCCAGCTCCTCAGACGCCTGGACTCCCCGCTCCCCCATCCCCCTTCCGCTGGGACCGGGAAGAGCTGAGCTGCCCCGGAGCTAAGGAAGAGCTGGGGCTGGAACCCAAGGCCCAGGCCCTGGGAAGGCAGCCAAGGCAGAGGAGGGGGTGACCCTGGAGGCCCGGCCCCAGTGACCCAGTGGGGGGTGGGGTGCCTTCCTTCAGCTCTGGGAGGACGGAAGAAGGCTCCTGGTGTCATACTTCTCACCTCTCTGCGTGTGGTTTGTTTTTTTGCCAAAGTCAACCTGCGCTCACACCCCTGTCCCTCCCACAGCCTGCAGCCTGCAGCCTCCCAGCCAGTCTGCACACACCCCCCGCCCCCCCCCCCCCCGCAAAGGTCAAGAGCCGGGACAAAGGCAAAGGCTGAGGTTACGGTGGCTCTCGGAGCGGCGGCGGCGGTGAGGTCTGTCTCTCTCCCAGCGCCAGGAGCTGGGGGCTGCCCTTCACCCCTCTCCAACCTGCCAGGCCCCCAGAAACCTGCTCGGCCCTCAGGAGGGAGACAGCAGGTTCAGGGGGATGGGAGACGCTCCTGGGAAGAGTTAAGCCGAGGGGGGGGGGGCGGGAAGAAACCCCAGCCTTGACACAATAACCCCCTCAGCGGACTGCCAGCTCCTACCCACTCAGGTCTGAGCGCGGGGTCTGAACACACCCAGCCCTGCACCCGGTGCTCACCGCTCCCCTAGGACCCCTCCCCCCTCCCCCCCAGAGGAACCTGAACCCTCACACGGGCAGGGAGAGAAGGGGAGCAGCCCGCCAGGACTTGGGGTTCTCAGCAGCCCCCTCAGGAAGGGAGCGTCCAGCACCTGCCCCCGACCCCAAGTGAGCACAGGGTAACAAAGGGACACAGCTGGTTGGGAAGGGAGGTACTTGTATCCGGAGGAGCCCCCAAAACACACCTGCCCAGAGCAGCTCTCCCCCTCATCCTGGGACGGAACCCTCCGAGATGCCAGCCGAGGGGCTAGGGCCGGGGCTGCACTCCGATGGGCAGGGGCCCTCCCCAAGAGGGCAGGGTCCCTCAGCATGGCAGAGGGGTGTCTGATGAAGTTGCCCCCTCCTGCCACACCCCACCGCCAGCGCCTCCCGGACACCCACTGAGGACACAGGACAAGGCCTGGGATCGGGGAGGAGGCAGACAGGCCCACAAACGGGACCTTGACCTCACCCTCCCGGGAGGGAGAAAGGGCCCCGCTGCGGTGAGGCTACTGGGTTCCAGGCGAGAAGACCTGGAGCGGGGCGGGGCCTTCCTCTCCCCGCCGAGAAGCGGGAGGACCAGCGCACAAATGTTTCCTGGAGGGAGGAACCCCCAAAGTTCCGGGGCCCCGGAATACACCGCCACAGGACCGGGCCGGGTTATCCCCGGAGTCCGGTTGTCCAGCAAAGGCACCGGGGCTCCAGCAAGAGAACAGGGACAGCGAAGGGGGGAGACGAGACCCCACCACGCCCCCGGGCTCGCATCCCCCCGCCCCCCAGGGGCGGACGCCCGGCCCACCCCCACGCCCAGGCTCACAATGGGAGAGGGGCTGGTACCTACAGTGGTTTGAGCCGGTCCAGAGCGGGGTCCGCAGCGGGGCGGGGTAGGGCCCGGGCGCGGGGAGCCCCTTCTCCGGCAGCAGGCAGGCCCGGCTCTGGTTGTAAAAATCCACCACCAGGAAGGGGCTGGGGGCGGGGGCGAGCCCCCCCACCTCCACGCTCTCGTACATCCCCGCGGAGGCAGGCGGTGCGGGCGGCGGGGGGGTCCCGGGAGCCGCCTCCCTCA